TAATAAAATTTTAAGTCACCCCTCAAGGAGAGGCGAGAAAGACTTGGGGAACCGGGGCGCCAGACTTACCACCACTCTCCGTTGGCTGTGCAGTGTGGGCCCGCGACCGGACTCCCCCGATAAAAACTAAGGGGAATAGTCCCGCGGGACCCTCAACCCCTCAGCCTCCTTCAGCGCTCGAACMCTCCTATACCGCCGCCTGCTGGCCTCGATCCTAGTGCCGTCGCAGTGTCAGTCCAATGTCGTAACCCATAGGGCTAAGCCCAAGCCTGAGACCAAAACACACAGAGTACCATACAAGACGGTGCGGCGCGGCGCCTTGGGCCAACAAATTGGCTGCGCGGCTCCTAGTGCTCGCGCCGGCTTGATTATACCATGCCATAATTGCCCCCGCGCGCCATCCTACGACATCCTGCTCACCGCACAAATTCGCGCCGTTATTGCCGATGCCGTCGTCGGGGTCGTTTCTCTGCACGCGTGCTCGACTCGGTCAAATCAATCAAAAGAAAATATCCTTAATTCCTGCTTAATAAATAAATAATAATAGTATCACCAAGCAAAACGACCGAGGTCCGGGCCGGCTTTACGATCAATAACAGAAAAGAATCACGCGCCCCTTAAACCTGTGCGCCCACGCACTCGCTATTGTGGTCAACCACCTAGTCAACGCAATTACAAACGCAGCCGTACTTAGTGCGGTATACTTAGACTCTAGACCAAAACTATTTTCTGTCACTTGCAAAAACCAGGGCGGATACCCTTGTAAGGGTATTCGCACTGACAGCGTTCAACAAAACACCTTCTTGTCGCCGCCACGTTATGCTGACCGGTGAGAGGGTAGTAGTAGTACTTGTTCACAGATTCGAGATCTAAATCATCGGGCAACACCCTCCTTGCTCTCACAATCCTCCCTGAAGCGTCAGTATGCAATGTATCACGGAGGGCAACCAACAAAAGGACAGGCTTCTTATACAACGTACCGACATTCACACCGGCAGCTCTAGTCATTCTCTCTCTCATAGCAGCCTCACCCGATGCAATCATTGCGTCATAAATGTCGTCAACCGTCTGCTGCACAAGATAGCCTTGATTGTATCTGAATTCCCCGTCCGGGATATCCAAAATTCTGTTGAACTGGACATAAATGAATTTCATGTCTTGACATTGGTTCCCATGCTCGTCCAACTCAAGGAAAAAGCCTTTGCTAAGAATACCAAAAGAAGTCACTGATGGCACATTTCGCAAACTTGGCGGCCTAGTAATTGTCTTGCTTTTGGCCTCTTCATCCGATTGTGGTTGTTCCGCTGGAAAAACAGAAGTCTTTTCCATAACACCACCTTTTGCCTTTCTTTTCTTTGGCTGCTGCTTTTTCTTCGCAGCTGCCTCAGTCTCCCGCGTTCGCTGGACCGCCTCATCCACGGGCATTATTTTCAATCGTCTTTTTTCACCCGCTTCTTGCCTACTCCGTTTATTATCCATAAGACTTTTCCTCTCCCGCCTGTGCTTCCTCTTTCGCTCAGCGAGCCCTGCAGCATCTGTATGCCCAGCCACAACCACGGTCGCGTGCACATCCTCCTCATATCCTTCGTAGCTGCTCCCATATCCTTCTGCCGGACCAACCTCCCCACCCGATGCGCTCACAGTGTGTTCACTGTCTTCATCCTGTCCAACCACTTTACTTGTCTCTCCTGGATGCCTTGTCATCCCGCCGACACCCGCAGCATACTGTTCCTGTCCTCCTGCTCGTTCCGAATATTCCTCGCTGTTTTCTTCATCCTCATCTTCAAAATACTCATGGACTTCCTCTACGTGGCCCGACACAGTGTAGTCATAGCGCTGTTGGCCCACCAAGGGGAGATGTCCCTTGGTGGCCACATCATAGCGCGATCGGCTGCCCAAGGCAACTGGTGTTTTGGTCGTCGTTGGCCTGGTCTTCATAGGGGCTGACGGTACGACCAGTCTGCGGCACGGACCCTTCTCTCCTATCTGCCCAGGTTTTGGACCAGGCGGCGTATCGCAGATCGTGATCGAAGGCCCTGTCTCCACGGTTCTCGAAAGCACGCATTTAGGCTCTGATAGGCGGTCCTCTGGATGCACAACCGGCTCTCTGCCCACGATCACATTACTGTCAAAAAACCCGAGGACGTCAACGAGGTTAGGCAACTTCACTTCCAATGTCCTTGGTGGGTTGAACACATCAACCAGCGACTTTCCAAACCCTGGGTGTTTGGCCCATCGAAGAGCGACGTGTTTAATGTTTGGTATTCTTTCCCCTCTTCCATTCAGGACCATCGCCAACTCGAAAGTTACAAACGACACATTTTGCCCAGTCCACCTCACCAGGCCGCCAACTGGCACAATATTTTCTTTGATGACCACGTATAGAACAAGGCCACTCGATGGTTGTCCGGTCTCCCCCACCCAGTCCAGCATACAAAACTTGTCCTTGTGGTCAATCACGGGGACATCGTCTCGCCGACCCGCGGCAGTCGTTTCACCAGACGGTTTACGTTCGCCAGACGGTTTACGTTCTCCAGACGGTTTGCGTCCGGGCATAACCTCCACTGCAGATCTCCCCTGCTGTGGACCAGGCACACGTTCCTGACCCGCAGGCCCGCCAGTCATCAACACAGCCTTATCCGGTCCAAAGCCCCGAACACGAGTTGACGGAGTGCCCGTGGAAGGTGCACCCCTCGAAACCGGGGTGCGTTGCTGCTTAGACCCCGGTGCCTCCAGACTCCCAACCCCAGCGGTCAGCGTCCCCTTCGATTTTTTCGGAGATTGTTCCATGCTCCCTGAATTCTTACTTGCTCGTCGTTTACTTGCCTTCCCCTCTCCTTCCATGTTTCGTAGCGCTGCTTAATCTGAAAGCAACACAGCACATCACGGCGAAGCAAAAAATCAGAAGGCCGCACAACGTTGGCATGGCACGAGGAGCAGAAACGTTCCAGATAGTGATAAGGCAGCATCTCCTTCGTGACGAGGCATCCGCGATCGTGTTCAACTCGACCGTGATCGTGCCCGTGGTCAACACGATCTCGTTCGGTGCGAGAGTGACAGGCCAGCTCGATCGTGTTCGACTCGATTGTGAGTCCAGGCTTATCGTGCTCGACTCGATCGTGTCCAACTCGATTATGATCGACTCGATCTCATTCGACTCGATCGTGCTCGAATCGATCGTGTTTGACTCGATCGTGTTCAACTCGATCATGATCGACTCGATGGCGGTCCACTCGATCGTGTTCGACTCGATCGTTTTCGAGTCGATCGGGAGTCCAGGCGATCGTGTTCGACTCGATCGAGTTCAACACGATCGTGCTCGACTCGATCGTGCTCGACTCGATCGTGCTCGACTCGATCGAGTCGAACACGATCGAGTCGAACGCGATCGAGTCGATCATAATCGAGTCGGACACGATCGAGTCGAACACGATAAGCCACGATGGAGGTCGATTCGTGTTGGATCCGATCGTGTTGGATCGTGTTGGACACGATCGTGAGTACAGGCAATCGTGAGTACAGACGATCGTGAGTCCACATCAAGTCGATCATAATCGAGTCGGACACGATCGTGAGTCCAGACGATCGTGAGTACAGACGATCGTGAGTCCAGACGATCGTGTTGGATCCGATCGTGAGCCCAGGCGATCGTGTTCGACTCGATCGTGTTCGACTCGATTGTGTTCGACTCGATCGTGTTCGACTCGATCGAGATCGACTCGATGAAGGTCGACTCGATCGAGTTCGACTCAAACGTGGGGGGCCAGCGCGACAGTTGGACACGACCAGGCTGGCAAACAGAACACGGGAACGGGACGACGTATCCAAAAGCAGACAAACAGAACACGGGAGCGGCGTAGCTAAAAGTCACATCAAACAAAGCAAAAGGATCGAAATCCGGCATCGACAATTTCACATCAAACCCGTTGCTTTCATAACACACACAGTCTCAGTCCACAGTGTTGCCGAATGACCCACATTTCTCACACTGTTCATCTTTCGCCGAATAGGAAGCGCCGTCACGAACAAGGCACACCAATCAAGGCACATCAATTGGAAGCCTACATCCATCATTAATTCGAGGCATTCAATTGGCAAGGCAGGCAACTGGCACCCGCAACGAGCGACTAACAGTACGCTCCACCGATCACTAAACACACACACGCACACATAAGAGAGAGAAAGAGAGAGAGAGAGGTTAAACCGGCATCGACAAGCTCACATCAAACTCAATGCTCGCACGCATACACAGTCTCAGGTGTCACTTTTGCTGAACAGCTGAATAGCTGACATGTCCTACACTGTTTATCTCCCATGACCTCCCCCTCGACCTCGCCTATCCTTTCGCCCCGAAACCGTACACTGCATTCAGGGATGAACCGTACGTCCGGAGCTGTGGACTGCACAGGGTTGCAGTGGAGGAGAAGCAAGACACGTATCGTGTACGGACAAAACCACATGATCTCGCTAAAGTTCGACCGATGGTGTCTCTAATGACCTTCACGTACTCCTCGACCTCCTCCCAATGCCGGGGTGTATCGACCTGCCCCGTCAGTTTCATGTCAAACCTACCGTTCCTCCAACCATGCGTTAACATAATCGAGTCCCCGTCAACGATGAGCTCGTTCCTGGACACGTAAATACTTGCTTCCGCTGAAGTCTTACTTCTATTTCTTACCGAAACACAAAGAACCCTAGCGAAAGAGAAACGACGGAGATCAACATGTACGCAGAAGTACGACACACTCCCCGTCAAGTTGTCATAGAAAGGAAGGGGATATTCCTCTAGAAACTGGTTCTGTTTCGCGCAGTCCAGCAACTCCATCTTCATCGATGGTCCCCACAATCGTGGTGGACAAGACACGTTGTGCACAGTCAACGACAAAGACCGGTCTCTGGTACGAAATGCCGCAGACAACACCGGAATGTGTTTTGTCACGGGGATGTGGTCGAGGAAGATGAATGTCCCCCATTCCTGGTTGGATGCTAGTCGATAATCAGATGCCCAAGGGCAGTCTTTCATTGTGTTCTCGCTGTCCAATTCGGACCATGCATCGAAGGGCTTTTCAAGCCAGGGCATAACGCTCATCCAAGGGTCCGTGTCGAAGTCTTCTCTACGGGCCCCAAGTATAGTTGTCTCCCGCCTTGAACCCCGCAGGTACCTTGCGCTAGCATTCAAAGGGAACGAGTAATCGAAGCGGAGAGCCATCGCAAACGTCCTACACACACAGACGATTGACGACCAAAACAGGGAGCCTTTGCTAAGGTCGAACGTGCTCACACATCGAGGAGCCATCGCAGTTACACACAACAACCAGGCATTGCGAATTCCCAAAACAGAAGGAGAAAACACACAGAACGACAAATTTCATCGGCGGCTATCCATCGTCACGTTCCTCGCGACGAGGCCGATGACGGACAATCGAGAAGCTCAAACGGATGGTCAGAGGCCTTGGCTCTTGCCGGCGGACGAGTTCGTAGAGCTTGTCTCGACGCCGGCCGACTTGCCACCATCGAGTCGTACTCAACAATGGCCAGCACGAGGTCGTTGAGTAGAACTTAACAGCGGCCAACATTGGGCCATCGAGTCCGACACATCAGCAGCGGCATGTCATATGGCCATTGTCGAGTCGAACTCGACAACGGACCGTGGTCATCGAGTCGGACTCGACAACGGCCCCGGGCATTTGTCGAGTTCGACTCGACGTCGGTCGTACGACTTGGCGCTGGTCCATCGTTGAGTTCGACTTGACGGCCTGGGTTCATCGTCGGGTCGGACTCGACAATGCCGAGACGAAATCGACGACCCCCTGGGGTCATCGTCGAGTCCGACTCGAGAGTGGCCGGAGGCTTTGGCGCTTCCCTGCCGTTGTGTTCGACTCGACGACTGATGGCGACAGCCTGGCCATTGTCGAATCCTACTCGACGGTGACCCCAGGCCGTCATGTATTCCATCTCTACAATAACTCGTGTCCTTTATCGTTCCCGACTGGATAATGACCACAAGTCGTTGTCGAGTTCGTCTCGACGACGTCACCCGGCCATTATCGAGTTCGATTCGACAATGACCAAAGGCCGTTGTCGAGTTTGGCACGACGACGACCCCGGGCCATTGTCGAGTTCGCTTCGACATTTACCACAGGCCATTGTCGAGTTCGACTCGACAATGGCCTGTGGTCATTGTCGAGTCCGACTCGACGACGACCCTGGGTCATTATCGAGTTCACTTCGACAATGACCCCGGGCCATTGTCGAGTTCGACTCGACGATGACCACAGGATGTCAAGTCCGACTCGACGATGACCCCGGGCCATTGTCGAGTTTGACTCGACGATGAACACAGGCCATTGTCGAGTCCGACTCGACGATGACCCCAGCCCATTGTCGAGTCCGACTCGATGATGACCCCGGGCCATTGTCGAGTTCGACTCAACAATGCCCCCGTCGAGTTCGACTCGACGGCGGCCTCTGCATGGGCGGAGATGCCACGTGGCAGCACGTGGTTGCTTCAGGGCGGTTTACCGTTTTCCCAGGCCTCCACTGCTGCCTTCGATGCGGATGCTCGTCACTTCGCTCCGATGCTGCGCGAACCTCCGATGTCCGAGCGAGATTTCCGTTGCCTTCTGCGCGAGCCTCCGATGTGCGAGTCAGCGCTCCGCCGGCTTCGGACACTTGCAGAAATGGGAGATGGTGGGCCCACACCACTATTTATATTTTCTGTGGAAGGCCTGCGGGGCAATGCGGCCTGCGGAGTGTGGGTTCGAGACCCAGTGCCTCGGGGGGATCAGTGCCGAGGGACCGACGTTTCGAATCTCGGGAAAATTTGGGTCATCGATCCGTCGGCTGAGGGCCAGGATCAGGTGCGGGGAAAACAGGTGCCGCGGTGAGAATCGTTGCCCAGCGGGCGACGATTCGAATCCCAGGAAAGTCAAGGCCGTCGATCTGTCGGCTGAGGGCCAAGATCGGGTGAGGGGAGAACTGGTGCCGAGGTGGGAGTTGATGCCAAGGGGGGCGACGATTCGGCTGTCAGTGTCGTCCGAGACTGTTAAAACGGGCTCCGCATGAGGATCCAAGGGTCTTTTCCCTTGCGTCGCTCCCAGACAAAAGGCCGGTGCAGTGTCACCTTCGCGTCGACGCGAAAGACAGCTGCGTTGCTCCGCCACGGCAGCTGCATTGCTGCTCCAATTCGTGCCTTCTTCGACCCAGGTGAGTTAGGAATCCTCACCGCCCCCGCTCCCCTGCCAAACCCGTCTCC